AAAAGGAATTCTCAGGGGTTGAGTCACTAGAAGTTACAAGCCAAAAAAGCTGGTCAATAGACAAACCTTGTTATGTTGATGGGGTAACTCTTCATCCATATATGTAGCTTCGGGCATTTCACCATAAGATTGATCAAACCCAGGGTCACCATTATCATCACCATTGTCCAAATTGTCACTCTCAACATTATCACTGGAGTTTCCAGTTTTCTTCCCTCCGCCAGCAAGTGATTCCCGTAACTAGATTACGGAAGTCAGGTGAGAATCAATAATAGTAACGATTTTACAGATGTATGCTATCTCTGGGCAGAAAACCAACCTTTTCATATAAAGGGTTAGATTGTGATTGAGAGTTCCCAAGCTGATCAAGCTTTTTTCGTCTCTCTTCCCACATTTCTTTGAACTCGGGACTAATTGGGCCATGTAACTTTGCGAGAGGAAATAATGCAGCAATAGATATCGGACTTGAGGAGTTTGTTGAGTTCCCCATATTCCTTCTTAGGGGTACTGCTAATGCAGAGAAGTCCACAAGTAATGTAACAAACTGCTTAACTTTGGTAGAGTCAAAAGAATGTGAAAGAAATGAAAATGAATTTTTCTGCATAATCACCTCGTTTGAAAGGTTTCACTTTTAAGTTCCCAGGTTCATGAGGATTCAAAGGCTTCCATGGATCATTTTCTTCATCGTCTAAATCTGAGTCATCCAAGTTTCCAGGTGGTGAATCCATATCATCCATAGTGAACCCTTGATCACCAGCTCCAAAATTACCCTCTTTTGAAGGGCCAGGACCCACATCATAGTTATTGTCCTGCAAGCCACAGTCAGGAATAGGAGAACAGTTGAAAGCAGCATCGTGGTTCTTTCCCAGGGATGACCTCCGTGATCGTTTAGCTGAAGAATGACCAGTTTTTCGGACTGAGGGGGGCTTGTATGCCGGACCATTTCCAGTGACCTTATCTAAGAAGTCATTTACTGAAGGAGCATCACAAGGATCTAACAAGACAAAATCCCGGTAGAGATCGCAGGTGGCTAACTACAACGATCAGAAACAAAAAAAATGGAACGGGGCTTTAGACGACTGTTTGGCTCCAGGATATCTACAAACAAAAGAAAGAAAGTGCAAAGAGATGTCATACTAGATATGACTCCAGTTCCCCTCCATCGCCACCTGTGTCCAAGCAATCAGCCTCAAGAACGACTAGATTAGCTGGTGGCTTTGTGAAATGGTAAAAGGAAGCATCTTTACTGGTAGAAGCCTCCAAGCAATTCCTTGGTTCCACTACAAAACAGAAGTTCCCATTGTCCAAGCTTATTTTTCCCAGTTATAACTTAATGAAAATAGATTAACGTGCGAAAAAAACATACCTGGGATGTCATCTGAGCCCCAAAATTGATCTTCTTCGTCATCATTAGTAGACCTTGAAGCAGTTTTCTCAGGTTGTTCGGCAGAAGCATCATCGGACTGTCCCTGCTGCCTAAAAAAGAGTAGTTAAGTACAAGATTACCAAGACATGTCGTTGAAACAAACCAATTGAAGAGAACACGCGTTGTTTCATAACAACGGTGAAAGATTCACACCTCTTCTCAGAGAGGAAGTCCAACGCATGTAGAACCAAGTTGTACAAATACTCAACTTTCCTGCTGTACACCTGAACCGAACCCTGAAGGAGTAAAGCAGCTGCATTTTTCACAACAAAACACCAAATCTTTCAACACCAGAGCTCACATGAATCAAGAGAAAACGAAAACCCTAGCCCCAAACTAAAACCCCCCAAAAGGAAAGGTACGAAAATCAGCAAACCAATTCGAAAACACTAACCTTCAGCGAAATTGATGGAGATATGAGCAGCGTCCTCCTCGGTTCCCCTAATTTCACCAGAGCAAATCTTCAGCAAGTAATCCTCGAGCTTCTTGGCAAGATCGACCTCCCAATTAGCCCCTAAGTCTCGCTCAGCCTGAACCGTATGTATTATTTCGCCTGCACCGTCTTTGTGGTTGCTCATTTTGAACTCAAAGAGTAGAGCTTTGCATTCCGCGGGGACGGCTTCATGTGAAACCCTCGGAACCCTAGGATTTTGGGTACGCCGGCGGACGTGAAATGACTTCCGAGGCAATCAATACCCGTACTTTGGTGTAAAATTTCGATTGGGTAGGGGGAAATGGTCGAGAAAGCGTGGGAAAATGCAAGCAAAAGGGTTGCTAGTTCAGTGAGCAACGGCCATGGAGATTCTCTCAGTGAATGAATCCAGAGGGAATTTGGAATTCAAAACGTTTCGTCAAAAAATTTCCCGCTTGCTCGTCAGTTTCTCTCCTTGAGTCTTGAATCTCGGCTCCTTTGAGCCTCATCTTGTTTGTCGTTTGCGTAATTGGGCTGGGCCTTGTAAATTTTAGCTCGAAAGAAAGAGAGCTAAAAGCCCATACATACTATCAATTACAGTGGATAAGCAAGGTTTTTTTTTCTTTTTCTGAGTGATATCAATGGAAGAAAATAGTTAAACTTACAATTCTACCCAAGATCCCTAACAGATTCTAAAGAAGCCGCCCCAAAAAAATCAAAAGAATCTAGCTCTACACGAGACAAAAGCAGTGCTTTACGCGCCACTCTATGGGCAGCACTGTTGGCGGATCTAGGTACCGCCCTAAACTCTATACAAACAGACAAAGAGCTAAGGATCTGAAGACACTCTCGTAACACCGGACCACCAATCGAGTCTTCAATGACGCCTTGACGGACTTGGTTGACCACCATTTCGGAATCACCTTCGACTATCACGTTATTGATTTAGCATGGTTGGACTGATAGTATAATTGATTTAGCAACTGCTTCCAGGTAGGGGTGTGCAACGGTTCGGTTCGGTCCAGACCGGACCAAATTCATGAGAATCGCGGTCCATTAGTGAAAGACATGTTAGGACCAAGGACCGGACCATTCTTGTATTTGGTCCATTTGGTCCGGTCCGGTCCAAATATGAGCTCGGTCCATCATTTTTTCGGCAATTATAAAATTCATGAGGACCAAGGACCGGACCGCATTATACTAGGTATGGTCCGGTCCGGTTTTAACAACGGTTTGGTCCGGTATGGTCCGGTACGGACCAGACCATTGCACACCCCTACTTCCAGGGTTTGCCATTGCCAAATGAGTCAAATTGGGGATGACAGGCAACTAACACCATCATCGACAACTGATATAGAACCCAGAAAACAAAGATAAACAGAACCTCAGCTCTAATGAACTAATTTCAAAACAATAGGTGGATAAGTCAAACATCTTGTATCTCGATCCTTTGGATTCAATTCAACACCTTGAATCTAGCCCAAGAACAATAATACTTCAGTGGGTTCCTTTCCTTGGTTCATTTGGCGGGAAAGAACAAATTACAATTTTAATAAAGTGAAACTGGATGAATAGATTAGGAAGTTGCCAAGAAGGCTACTGGATTTATGATTACCTGGAGATTCATGACAAGGTACCAGTTTCACAAGGCTCTGAGGTGGAGGATTGCAGACGGAGAGAGCTCCGATCAGGCACTAGAAATCGAATTCCGATGCCGGTATCTCCGACAAGGAGGGCTTTGGCATGGGATGTGTAACCAGAGATTTGAATGCCATCCCCAAAGTGAAACTTTGCACCTCGCCCTTGTAAGTTGTACAAGGTTTGATTTGCTTTTGAACAAAGGAAGAAACATAAAGAATAAGTTCGAAACAAAAGCTCAATCGGTTCGATTCGCTTCGCACTTCCACCCTTTTCCACCCTTTTAAGGGAAAACCTGGAGCAAAAAGAAAATAAAACTTGAATAAATGAAGCAGAGTTTTAATTAATGCTATTGGACCGGGTAAGAATCAATGTGGATGCCAAATGAAACTCATTAGTCACAATAATTTCATCATCCGAGCTCGTGAGCCAACACATTGGTGTCAAAGTTCTATTCATCGTCATCGAAGCGGATCTCGTTGCCATCGTGAAGAAAGATACGAACAGCACATGTGCTTGATCTTCTTGGCAGTTCCAACAAAGAGGCAAGCGTTTTGCGGTCTGGTGTGTCGAGACGAAAATTCATGTTCAACTGCACAGTTAGCTTCTTCAGTACAGCTCCAAACTTTAGTAGATATGCTACTAGTCTCGTATAAGCTCCAGTTAATAAATTAGCTATCACAACTTTCCCAAGTTTGACAGCAAACACTCAGGCAGGCAAGCAGGCTCTGACTCCCAACTCATACTAGGACGACTTTCCTGATGGTTACAAAACATTTAAATCATCATGAAACAATACGGTATCGTAGCTAAAGCAAAAACCTTGGTAGTCGGTATGATAACGACCGATGAGTAAGAAATGGAAACGACGCAGACAAGTACAGCAACACTCGTTCTTGGTATATGCAAGACGCAGATCATGACATGTTCACACATTTTGAATATGATTAAAATAAGTAATGATTTGCGAAATGGGTATAGTATTTGATTGTAGCTAAATATTTACGAAAAAGTCAATGGAGAAGAGCTATGAAAAAATATGATAGAACAGGTTTTAAAGCGAGGGACAACACGAGACAGACAAAAGAAAGATCCCTGCTCCAATGCTACAAGTGATTCGGATAATAACCACAAGGCATAAGTGTTGAATATGAATAGCTTTTGAAAAGCTTTGGTTTCTAACAACGAGCAGGAACAGGTCAGGACTCGGGACTCAGGTTGAGCAGGTGTACTCGCTACAAATAAAAGTTAGGGTCAAGACTCAACGTTCAATACTCACAATGTAAATGACAAGAGATTGTAGTTTGGACGCCGAGTTCAGCAAGGCGTGCAGAATGGCGCTGCAGATAGGTGCTTCTATTTTCAAATGTGTCAAATTGGGAAAGACAGGCAGTTGAACACCATCATCATCAAAATCTCCATCCTCTAGAATCGATAAGAAATCCTGAAAAAAAAGGATTAACACAACCTCAGGCTCTAACCAACTAATTTCAAAACAATGATGGAAGAAAAAGAGTGACAACATTAGGGCATGTTGATGCTTACAAGAGTCTCGTTAGACAAAGAGATTCTCTTTGCATTGGAGATTTGGTTGAGCAACTCAATCATACAATGCTCTGGGTCATCTGGGTCCCAGAACATATCAACCCACGCAGAATCAAGGCATGAAAACACTCTACTCCCTCCAAGAAACCGTAGCACCGTAAAGGGTGTGATAGGCTGAAGATGAAGATGAAGATGAAGATGCACTAGATTGGGTGCTTCAATCCCAATGGGAGTGTAGCGGTCATGATGGATAATAGTCAAGTTCTTCAAAGATGGTGATGAAGCAATAAGCATGCATTTTTCATCGAAGTACAAGGGGTAGCACAGCTCTAGATGAACAGTCTCTAGAACGGGGCAATCAGAAATGAGCCTGCTTAATGATTCAGAGTCCTTGGTCGGTACTCTCACAAGCTGTAATATCTTTAGGTTAGGAAGAACAACCGAACCCTCTGTATTCGCAACTAAAATCCCCCCGACCTTCAAAATTTTCAGATTCTTCAAACTGAAGACGCTCTCCGGAAGCTGAGATTCACGACTGATTCTGCCATATTTCCCCTGGATTTCGATATCTATTTCTTCAAGCAGAGACCCATACCCCAATTCCATCTTCAACCGTAAATCTGACATCACCTGTAAGCGGAAACGGTTCACCGAATCGAGATTCTTGTGCCGGCTGAGAACCCTGTCGACGAATCGGGAGAATACCAAGGCTCTCCTCCCCCGAACCTCTGAAATTTGTTCCGTTGATGCGCCATTGTTGTTCGGAGGCAGGTGGCGGTAAACCAAGCTGTCGTCGAGATCGAGATTGGAAACCCTAGTCCAGAGATCTTTCCAACGCCGACTGAGAACAGCGGTGCCGACGGCGTACTTGGTTTGCAGGAAAGAGAGAATGTGAGATAAGATTTCGTCCGGCAGGGAGCTGAGCCTGTCGCCGTTGCTGCGCTCCGGGGACTTCCGTTGATTACTCGTCGCGATTTCCGTATCGCTCGTCGCCATCTAATCTCAAATGGACAACCAGCGAAACTGAGGCGGGAATGTTGTCTTGGGCTGAATGTGAGACGTTTGAGCATCTCTTCGTAGAGCTCAGTAACGTTATTGTACGCATCTGTCTCTGTTTTGACATCAACAGTGGCTGTAGTTTAGTGGTTAGAATATCACGTTGTGGCCGTGATGACCTGGGCTCGAATCCCAGCAGCCACACTTTATTTTTTTCCTATTGGGTTCTTTACATTATACACCCTCTGCCGGGGATATAGATTGTCTCATTTTCAGATCAGAAACCTTGCTCTACTAGAACAAAAGAAATATGAATAAAGTACGTCCCAGAGTCGATATATTTTGCTGCAACTATAGCTCTACTAGTACCGCAGCTGTTAAGCAGAACCAGGCATTATATCCAAATGTTATTTTAACCAGGTTTTCGTCACAGATTATCATGCATGCGCATACGCTAGTTCCCTTTCTGCAAAACCCCCCATTAACCCTCAGTTAGAACCGAAACGGGCATGGGCGCCCAACAAAGTTCCACTTCTAGAGCCCCATGATCATGCACAAATGGAAGAACCATAGACAAAATTACGGAACCAATCTCGAATTCTTCCATTCCATGACACAACTGTTTCCACTAACAGGCGGTATAAGCACCTTAGAACGACAGATCTTACACTTACCGTAACCAAGCTGGGTTCAGATCACAAACCAGCAGGATAGCAGCAGTTCATAAAGAGGGCAGAAAAGTTTCCAAGAGTATCTAATCCCTCCCCCTCTTATCATCCAACCCAGAAGAAAGAAAAGGATAGGCCCGAGACATCACTCATTTTGCAGCTGCCTTCAAGTGGAACTTGTAAATAGATATTACACTTACAGTGTTGCAGTCCAGCCTCCCAACTGAAGCAACTTCAAAACAATGGAGCTTGCTTTTTGGTTCTGCAGACATTGTGAGCAACCAGACAGTAGGTTTGTATGTATCTCAACTACGCAGTGAACTGCAGTAATCGAATCCTCCCCCATCGATTCGACTCTATTAAGTATTAACCATTATCAGGTCGAATTGGACCCAAAATCATTTATTCTATAACAACTGAGCAAGGAGTTACTCATGGGAGGGGGTTGGTTTGTATGCACGTCAAGCTATTGTCGAATGTGTAAACATGACCAGACATCAAGTTTGTGCTCACTGTCCTTCCCCTGTAATGTAATCTCAGTTCAGAATCCCCTTCTGTTGACCAAAGACCAACTTCATGAAGATCACCTCGTTTCCAGCACAGGTTGACTGTGACCCCTCCGCGTGCTTTTAATCCTTTGAAGCAGCCATTAGGCCACTTGTCCCGAGGAAGGGCAGGGAGAAAATACATGTCCTTCGGAGTGCTCTGAACCAGCATTTCAGCGATTGCTGCAGAGAAACTGGAAAGCGGAAAAAGCTCAGGTATCCAAAATCAGTCACGAACATAGAGCACATTACAGGGCAACGGAGTTTAGCAGCTTACCCAAAGTTGGCATCAATCTGGAATGGTGGGTGAGTAGTGAACAAGTTACTGTAAAGTCCTCCTTCGTAGTTGCTTTCGTGAGCAGGATCCACCAGAACAAACAAATGCTTTACCATCTGGTATGCCTCCTTGTATTTATGAAGATGCGCCCACAGTGCAGCTTTCCACACGGTCGACCACCCTGGACCTTCTATACCTGATAAATTGTGAAGTACAAAAACATGGTAGGTATCAAAGGTTAGTTTTTAGTTCAGTTAGAAACCATGGGTGTAAAGGGAACATCTTGTAGTATGTTGTTAACTAAGACAAAAGTTTTCTGTGTTCATGTTAAGACAGTTCGGATCTCTGACTCGCGAGCAATATGAAGCCATGGATCTTCTTCCGGTCCTGCCCACATCATTTCATCTCGTTCTAGATCCATCTTATCTCTATCATCTATAAAATTTACTCATATTGATCCCATTTTGACCTTTTTCTTAAAATAATGCAGATACATGCACCCAAGTATGAGCCTCCATCTTCCACAAAATGTGCCTTAATCAATCATGTCATCAGTCTCTCACTTATTTATTTATTTATTTATTTATTTGTTTGTACCATGATTATCATGAATTTGGAAGGTAGACACATACCTCTCTTCTTCAGGGTGTTTTCCGCAGCTATACAGAGGTCAGGAGCATCCTCAAGAGTAATGCTATGGCCAGGGAACAGTCCAAAGAGATGAGAAAGGTGTCTGTGTTGAGGCTCTGGGTCTTGGAAGTCCAAGGCCTGCGGGGTAAAAAGGACATAGGATATCTTCTACATCAAGACACTGAAAAAACATTAATAGCTTCCCAGCTTCTGAAAGGGAAATATTGATTAGACACACTTACCCATTCCATTATGGTACCTTCCTTTGCAATTTTCGTAGGCCGTAACTGGGGTAGAGCATCAAGGACTTTGTGAATAAGTTCGTCGTCCTTTCTTCTCAATACCTGTTCATGGGAAGGGCAGGAGTTGGTAGGAAACAAACAAGTGAGAAAGGCTTCCCAACAAGTGCCAAATTCAAAACTAATTTTATATATGGTTTGCAGTACCCCACCTCAGCAGCAGAAACAATTGCAGAGAACACCTCTCTTATGATTGACATGTCCATGGTTGTTGAGTAGCTCACACTAGCCTTCCTCCCATCTGGGGCAATGAACATATGCTCAGGAGAAGTTGATGGGTTAGTTCCCAGAGTTCCTCCCGACTCTTTAATTAACCAGTCTAGTAGGAAATTTGCACAGCCTTCCAGCAAAGGATATGCCTTGTTTTTCAGGAACTCCTAAGGTGCAAGAACAATCCAAATCTGTTGAGTGCACATATGCTGCAGTAAATATAAAAATCCATCTGAAAAACATTGAGAATCGACCGGCTTACTTTATCCATTGTGTAACTATAATGCTCCCACAGATGTGTACAAAGCCAAGCACCACCCATTGGCCACATAGCCCATACGGCGTCTCCACTGTCTGGCGATGTCTTTCCCCATAAGTCACTAATCTGATGTGCAACCCACCCCTTAGCTCCATAGTTCACCTGCCAACATTCATTTAATAAAACAAGCATGTCAAAGGCATGTAGCCGTAAAAGCCCACTGATCCTTGGAAAAACCGAGTACTTACTTTAGCAGTTCGACTCCCATTGATCGACATGGTAGACAGGTAGTCAAACAATGGATCTTGACATTCCTTGAGATTGCAAGACAGTGCTGGCCAGTAGTTCATTTGTAGATTGATGTTGAGATGTTGAGCACCACTAACCAAACAATATAAAGAAGAACATCAGCCGGTTTCTAGAATGAAATGTTTGCACTTCCAGAGAGAAATTGTAGTAGCAATGACTTGGAAAAGAAGAAAGAAAAAGAGGGCATACTCCCATGGTGGCGACAGATCCTTGCTCCATATTCCCTGCAAATTAGCTACCTGGGTTCCAGGCCTAGAACAAGAAATAAGCAAATATCGACCATACTGGAATAAAAGCTCCACCAGGGATGGATCCTCATCAGTTTGGAAGGATTGCACCCTATCTGCCGTCGATACTCCTGAAGCACTGGTGGAACCATTAGAAAGCTGTAGCGAAACACGATGAAAGAGACTCTGATAATCTTCGACATGTCGTGCTCTTAGATCATCATAACCCAAACTCTTGAGTGAAGTCAATGAGTTCAAGCAATCTGAAGTGGGATCCTTGTTAGAATCAACAGGGCTAGTGAAAGGCCCATCGAACGACGATGAAGCCACCAGAACCAAAAGTGCCGAATCAGCTCCATCAACCTTCAGCTTCCCACCATCCAAAACACTTATTACTGCTTTCCCACCAATCTGTAACTCCAGCATAGCAGTGAACTGAATCCCCTTTGGATTGCCCCTGCAACTTCCTTTGAGTACAATCCGATTCTGACCCTCGACATATGAGCTGTGATTCATCTTGCTGTCCAGGTAAATAGTGAATGATAGGGACCCCGGTTTGCTTCCAGATACCGTTGTGACGATTGCTTGGTGGGGATTGGAAGCAAAATGCTGCCTTGTGTATCCAACATCACCAACAGAATATTTCACAGTTGCCGTAGCAGTATCCAAATCCAGCTCCCTGTGGTATGTTTTAGGGTCGTAGTTCTTATGGGAAGCATCAAATTCCAGCACTATGTCCCCAAGCGCTTGATAGACCTTCAAATTGACAGCCAGGAAAGTAACAATCAAAACCCCTAACAAAGGTTTCAACTTTCAAGCAGATAACTAATAAGGAAAGAATGATTAATGCTACCTCAGAGCCTTTGCCTGACAATTTGAGCGCTGCAGCAGAAGCGTCAGCGAATTGACCATTAGCGACAAGTTTTCTGACCGCCGACAGAGCCGCCGGAGCATTTGGGTCGGTGTAGTCTCCAGGAACACCAGTCCACAGTGTGTCATCTACAGAAGAAGACGGTGAAGTCGGGACATCAGGCAACAAAAGAAAATGGCGGGAAGAAAAAGGAGCTGGAAGGATACCGTTGAGCTGGAGGGTTTCTCTGGAAACGCCTCCCCAGATCATGGCGCCGAGGCGGCCGTTGCCGATGGGAATGGCGTCGGTCCAGTACTTGGCTGGAGCAGTGAAGTTCAACTTCAGCGGGTCGGAGGCGGTATTCTCCATTGGATTATTGCTTGATCCTGCAAAAGAATAGATTGGTGGGCATAAAAATTCAATCTTGCAGAGTGGGTAGTTTTATAATAAGAGAAAGCAGAGAGGGAAGGAGGCGGAAGAGTGAAGCAACTGGAGAAATGAACCCAACCCAAGTGGCTGGAAACTACCGCAAGTCTCTTCCAGCGATTTCTCCGGCGCGGTTGTAGCTGCGGGCCGATCAAATCTATCACGCCATTGATAACTTGCTGTGTTCCTCCTTCACAATTAATCGGTGGTCCCTCCTTCCTTTGGTTGTGGCGTAAGCAATTGGTTTCTCAGAAAACAAGAAAGCCGGATGAAGTAATGAACTCAGTTTATTAATTTTTGTAGTTTCGCTCTTGTTCGGTTTCTTAAACTTTGTAGAATATTGATATTCTGAAGTCTGTTCTTATCAGCTTACTTGTTTCTATCAAACTCTTGACTTTTTCTATCAATTTTTCGTTTTGATTTTACCATATACTTCTCTACCAATTTTGATTTTACAGCACAAACTACCCTGAACAGGCCTGTCAGCTGGTAGTATAGTATTACAGTATTACTAGAAATTAAAGAAGACAGATGTCTTCCACAATCGGAGTTTGAAACCATAAATGGCTTAGTGTAGAGATGCCCAACCAAGAAGCCATCAAACCCTAGCATGCAAACAAGAGCATGAAAATAAATAGAGAAGTAGAGAACATGCATCCATAGAGACGAACATACTCCCCAACTTCATTATTAAACAAACAGAAACATAGATTGTTCACAATCCAAAGCCAACAAAGTACTGGACAAACTAAAACAAATTGAAACTGAGGAGCCATTAGGCTACCACACAGACAACCAGAAACTAAAACATCCTTCAGAGGACAACCAAAAGCAAGTCATGGCAGCAGCCATAGCAGCACCAGGAAGAGGAGACACTTTAGAAGCCACCACGGAGACGCAGGACCAAGTGAAGAGTAGACTCTTTCTGGATATTGTAATCCGCCAGGGTTCTTCCATCCTCAAGCTGCTTTCCTGCAAAGATGAGCCTCTGCTGATCTGGTGGGATACCCTCCTTATCCTGAATCTTGGCCTTCACATTGTCAATGGTGTCGCTGCTCTCCACCTCCAGGGTGATGGTCTTTCCAGTCAAGGTCTTGACAAAAATCTGCATCCCTCCCCTTAGACGCAGGACCAAGTGCAGGGTGGATTCCTTCTGGATGTTGTAGTCAGCCAAAGTCCTCCCATCCTCAAGTTGTTTCCCGGCAAAGATGAGCCTCTGCTGATCTGGAGGGATCCCTTCCTTATCCTGGATCTTGGCCTTAACGTTGTCAATGGTGTCGGAGCTCTCGACCTCAAGAGTGATGGTCTTGCCAGTCAGTGTCTTCACAAAGATCTGCATACCGCCTCTCAGACGGAGAACCAGGTGAAGGGTGGACTCCTTCTGGATATTGTAATCGGCCAGAGTCCTGCCGTCCTCGAGCTGCTTGCCGGCGAAGATAAGCCTCTGCTGATCTGGAGGGATCCCTTCCTTATCCTGGATCTTGGCCTTAACGTTGTCAATAGTGTCACTGCTCTCGACCTCCAGAGTAATGGTCTTTCCGGTCAGTGTCTTCACAAAGATCTGCATACCACCTCTCAGACGGAGGACCAGGTGAAGGGTGGATTCCTTCTGGATATTGTAGTCGGCCAAGGTCCTGCCATCCTCGAGCTGTTTGCCAGCGAAGATTAACCTCTGCTGATCCGGAGGAATACCCTCCTTGTCCTGGATCTTCGCCTTGACGTTGTCAATGGTGTCGGAGCTCTCGACCTCCAAAGTAATTGTCTTTCCGGTCAAAGTCTTGACGAAGATCTGCATGCCTCCACGAAGACGGAGAACCAGATGAAGGGTCGACTCCTTCTGGATGTTGTAATCGGCCAAAGTCCTGCCGTCCTCGAGCTGCTTGCCGGCGAAGATCAACCTCTGTTGATCCGGAGGGATTCCCTCCTTGTCCTGGATCTTCGCCTTCACGTTGTCGATGGTATCGCTGCTCTCGACTTCGAGAGTGATGGTCTTTCCCGTCAAGGTCTTGACAAAGATCTGCATCTGTTCAATCACAACGACGAGAAACCCTAGTTCAATAACTAGCGATCGATATTACCAGGATCCAACCAAAACCCTAAATTTGATAACACAAAAATCGAACTCCCATCTAAGAGATCACAATTGACTGCAAAAAATCGAATGTCATCATAACAGCCCTAATTAACAGATAGAACGAACACTAATCAATCCCTAGATCCAACGTTCAACACAAACGAAGCAGAACTGAACGAACAGGAACAGAAAGATGGGGAAATCGGGTCCGGATGTTACCTTGAGAAGCTGGTAAGAAAGCTCTGAATCGAAGATTTGATTGTGGAGAGAGTTTTGAATTGAATTGTGAATCGGTGAATGGAGAAACGAGAGGATTGGAATCGATTTATAGAAGGGGGGAATTGGCCGACCTAACTGCGTTTGCGGAGAACCAATAAAACAAAGGCGAAACGGGTAAGGAATGACGTGTATCTTGCTCGCTAGTTTGAGTAGTTGACACGGAAAGGGTTTGATCATTGATGGCCGTCCGTTTCCTTCCCGAATCTTCTTTTCTTTTGTCGGTCTTTCCTTCTCACGTAGAGATTTAAAAAGGGTAAAGATGGTATAATAAAAATACAAAGACTTAATATTATGTTAACCGTTATTAAAATCTCAATAGATTTTTATTATAATTATAATGTATATGATTAACATAAACGAATTTTAACCTAAAAATCATGTATATGGTGTACTAATTTTATTTTAATAACAAATATTATTTGTTACGTTTTGATAGGTTTAATTCGTAAGGTTCATTTTATTATCTCAATCGTGCATATTCATATATAAATATTTTAAAAATCATGTATACGGTGTGCTAATTTTATTTTAGTACAACTATAATTTGTATTATTTTGATAAACTTAATTTGTAAGGTTCATTTTATTATCTCAATCGTGCATATTCATATATAAATATTTTAAATAACCTATCAATATTCATTGTATCTTTCAAATGTTCAAAGTTCATACGATAAATTATCGAAGTCTACTTATTCATTGTACTAAAATGTAATAAATGAAAAATCTGTATTCATGCATGTTTTAGTTTCAAGATGGATCACGATTCACGACGCACAAACACAAGATTATGAGTATCCGTATTGCAAAGCAACTTGCTCCAAACCAACAAGTATGGAGCTTTGAGAGAACAAGGACATGTAAATACAACTAATCCAACCTATCATTTTTTTTAGATAGAAAGCAAAAAGTCCAGAGAATGACATAGGGGTGATTGAGAGTTATGGTCTTACTTGTTCCACCAAATGCCATGATCTTTCTTTAGCGATTCCTACACAATACTCTAACTACACGGAAGAATATTTAGACGAGGAAGAATAATACGCTGATCGAGTGCCCTTTTGTATTTGGAGGAGACTTATAAACACATCCTTCGACATGAGAGAAACTTATCGTTAAATTTGGGTCAACAGATCATCTATTTTCATTTCTTGATTTTTAGAAGCAGATTGTAATACTACTTTGATTACTTAATAAAAGCATCATGAGGAATTATAAAAAAAACATAAACAAACAAAACGAGTCAAGAAATTCATTCAGTCAATTATTTTCTCCTTTTTCTCACTTTATTTTCCTTTATATGTTCTACAATTTTTTTTTCCAGTTAGCTTCAATACAAACACAACATAATAGCTAATCAAACTTTACAAATTACACTATTAATCAATTAAATTAATTAGCCTTAACCCACCCCCAACAATCAAACCCCTCTTATTCACACTCCTCCAGTCCTCCCCTGTTTTTTTCCCCCTTCACGACTTCATAAACCCAGGAACATAGGGCACATTCGTAACCCTAATCCAAGCATCTCCTTCAACATAAAGCTTCCCAGGAGTAAACTTCTCAACCTGAGTCGCATCCAACTTCTTGATCCCCTTCCACGCGACCCGACCTCCCTGAGCCGCGCCCGGCCCAGTGTTCTCAAACTCTGCATAAAACAGAGTATTCAACCCGAGATCTCCCTGCCACGGCAACCAACCCTCAGGAGCAATCAAGTCATCCAAAACTGAATTCATAACAATTGTTGTGGAGTACTCCTTCCATGGCCTGCCCAAGTATGCCTTGTTGGTGTGCCTGACGGGGAAATAGGCCGGGTCGGCGGAGATGTGGCAGCTCTGGAGGACGATGGCAGAGTCGCCTCTGGGATCCTTCTTGCCCTCGGCGGTGACGATGCAGGCCTGATTTGGGAGCGGCTTGCGGACGATGAGCTTGCAGTTTTGGAGTACGGTCCGGGCTGTGCCGAAGACGAAGTCGATCGTTCCCGTGATGGAGCAGTCGCGGTAGAACTGGCGGTAGGCCTGGGCGTAGAGCGTGTCCTGGTAGCCGTCGAAGGCGCAGTTGTAGACGACGGAGTTGTCGGACCTCGAGCGGAAGGCCACCGCCTGGTGGCCTTCCGCTCCGGCCGTGTTCTCGAAGCCCATGTCGCGGACTACGAAGCTCGGTGCTACCACAGCTGCACGGCATGACAAACCCTTTCGTATTAGAGGTGACAAATGGATTTGATTCGTTTGGTGGATTGGATGGATAGATTTGAATCAAATGAATTGGTGTCCGAATTCATAAATCTCAGTTGCATCTAAACATTGGGCGGATATAATTTTTTTTAATAGGTATTAATATGTCACAATAAAAAAATTTGTGTACCAAAATTCAAATTTTCAAATCTATTTTCATTAAAATAAAATTTAGATACCAAATTATAGAATATAAAATACATAGATACTAAACTATAACTTTTCAAATAACCACGAATTTACCAATCCAAATAGATTTGGATCAAATGGATTAAAGTAATTGTATATTTTAACGGTTGGAGTTGAGGGCGTGCCACTGTCCAATCTGGTTCGAACCTGATCAAACTAATGAGAACCGCATTCTAATAGTGAAATACATATTAGGATCAAAAGACCGGAGCAACAGTGCATTCGATCCAGTTTGGTGGGACCCAAATGTCAATTCGGTCAATTTTTCTTCAGTAATTATAAATTTCATGTGACCAAGTATCAAATCACATTATTCGATTCATTATGGTCCGGTCCAAATGTTAGCTTGGTCTGATGCGATTCGATACGGACCAATTTGTTGCACACCTCTAAATGGATTGGATAAAAAATTGCCAACTATAAATCATATTAATGGGATTCAAAAGGATGGGTTTGAAAGAGAGAGTTGGTGGAAATTTTACCGAAGGTGGCAGTGTCAGAGGTTTGGACACCGGCGGCGAAGTTTTTGTTACCGGTGACACGAGTTTTGGTTTGGCCATCGCCGATCATCACAATGCCTTCAGCAGATTTGGGGATCAAGACTGTCTCCTTGTAAATTCCTTCCTTCACCCTAATGACGAAAGGGATCTTGTGCTGCTTCGGGATGGCGCTGATGGCCTGCATTATAGTCTTGTACTGCCCGCTTCCATCTTGGGCCACAACCATATCGGCCTGGACGCCAGCCGGATCGGCGGCCAAGAGCCTCCTCTGGGCCGGGCTGACCCACGAAGGGAACTCGGATTGGGCCTCCATCAGCCTGCGGGACCCACCAAACTTGAACGACGCGAAGATCTTAGCCAGCCCATCAACCATGGCGAGCCCATTGCTGGTGAGCTCTTCCGACGTCTTGAGGATCTCCCTCATCTTGTCCCCGGCTGGGCCCGTGGTGTTCACGAACCCGTCCTTGCAGTTCTCCTGGAACGTGACCGTGGCCTCGAGCCACGTTTTCAAGTTGTCGAGGTGGACATAGGCTTTTGTCATGTCGAACGAGCCCAGCTCGTCGACAGACCTCCCGAGGTCCTCGATGGCGGTCTCGAGCAGCTCGTCGCAGATCTCGAGACCGCGCTTCGCCATGGGGTCCTTGGCGATCTCCTTTAGGGTGTCCGAATTTTTTATGGACTCCCTGAGGGAGTCCGCGGCGAGCTCGAACCCTACCTGGACCAGCTTCTTGGGGTCCGTGGTGTTCTCCGCGGACTTGGCCAGGCTCTTCTCGCACGTGTCCTTGTAGGTGGACGGCTGGCAGAGGGCGGTCACTTCCTTGGATGACGTGGACAACTCGGCGGTGGTGCCGCCACCGCCGCCGCGTTCGTCGACTTTCTCGTTGACGCCCACGGTGACGGCGACCACCATGGCGACGAGGAGCAAGGACGAGACGCCGAGGACGGCGATCTTCCTCTTGCTGCTGTCGTCGGAGTCCCCCATGGTGCAAAAGTATAACCTAGCTAGTTAATTTGTGTAAGTAACTCTTACAATTTGAACAATTACGTCGCGGTAAGAGATTTTTTTATTGCTACTTGGTGAATAATGTTGTTACACTTTTTTATTATTGTTATTGTTATTTACTATTGATCAGGCTTGGATCGGAAGAACCCAGAGCCTGAGGGCCTTATTGAAGAGAGGAGAAATCTGTAGTGTTGGCCCTCGATAATTTTATTAAACTCTGGATTGGATTGAGAATTTGAAGTGATTTGTTTATATGGGAGGGAGAAGGTGGTGAAGTTGGTCAACTCGTTTTTGGTAATTAGGGGGTGATTACTAAATATGGAGGATAATTACATTTGGATGAGGGAGAAGGTTTAAATTTGAATGGTTTCTCGGGTAATTAGGATTCGGTTTGTGGATACATTTTATTCAGAATTAAAACACGTTAAAATTTTGACCATTGAGGAACATCCGATAAAATTGGAAGAAAGAACGTCAAAGTCTCGAGGAACGTTGTCAGAAAAATATCCATTCAAACACGAGTTTTGTCTAAGTCTATCTAGGGTGAAAAAGCAAGACCACGAGTCTGAAAAATGATTTAAGTTAGTGGTCAACATCAATTTCAAAAAATGACAAGACTCTTCCTGTGATGTTTATGTACGAATTTTTTACAAAAGTCAAACTAGAAAATTCGTTTATATTACAAGAACCACGTAACTAATTGTTGACTTAATATTCCAAGTTGAGAAAAGGCTGAACTATTCCTAGTTCCTACAACAAGCAATGTGATCTATATGACTATTGTAAGGATAGCTGTAAGCATCATTCTCATAAGTAATTGTTTGGTCATCGGATGAAAAAACACATGCAACGAATCATGAGAATAAATCAGTCGTCTCAAAAGGCGTAAAACTGTAATCGTTCACGCTTGTCAGGGACATAAATAACCGGTGATATCTACCTATCATCATTTTGATAAGAGAGTGCTACTTTTGAAGAGAAAACTCTAGGTTGTAGAGAGAGTTTGACTAACAACGTCCTTGGATGAGTTTTTTCGTCGATTTAAGTCCAAAGAGCTCAAGATTTAAGAAGTGGAGATTGAAGAGGAGAAGAACGTTCCAAGCATGATGCTACTAATTTCTTCCTCTTAATTATTTCACTTCCCTCTCTTTCAACTAATATGAGGAACCCTAGCTAGATGTTGTTAGATTTTTATGATTGATTGTGAACCCAGACTTTTACAATTGACCTATTCAATACCTAATTGATGGTCTATCATGTTTGCCTAATCTTTGATCAATCTTGGCTGAATTGATTTTTGACCGAAAGGGTAGAAATCTACTTCAGTCAATTGATCATGCATTGGTTAAATTGGAAGTGGATGAACCAATTTAAAGAGATTCAATGGTGTCAGTCTGTCAGAGTTTTGTTTGGTTGGTTTGGGTGAAGAGACATTTCTCTCAATTAATTAGCCAGTTACAAAGGGCTTTGATTGCATTAAACGTGAGCCATAGCTACTTGAGGAATCTCCTTGTGGAAATTAAGTTAAGAAGCCTAGTGTTACATCAATCTAGCTTATAGCTAAAGGATTCATTATCCAAGTGAGCTTTCGATCTCCCTTAAGAATCCAAATTTTTTCGTTAATCGCAATGGCTCAAATTCTTGATTTGACTAGTCTTTGTTAGTAATTCTTAATTAAATCGCTTAGATTTGCTAGCCCGATAATAGTTTATGACAATTAAAAAATGTTATTTTTTTCTCTACCTCCTTTCAATCTATATGACTATATCCATCTCTAACTGGTGCTTTTTAGTTGTTTGCTACCAAAATATGAATTATTGTCCAAAGTGCTGTTCATGAATCATAAGTACGTTTTTGTACTTTTAGTGCCATTTTGGGTAGTTTTTCATAATTTGCATATACAAGTACATTTAGTACGAATTTTGTAGTGAAGTTTGTCGTTGACTAGAATGGAGCAAAATCGTGAACCTAAAAGGGAGAAACCTAAAAATGGCCTAGCCGGCCGTCATCCAATTGAGCCCAAATTTCATACGAAGAGTAAGGAGACAAGGAGAAGCATGTTAACCAAGTTTAAGCACAAACAGACCAAAAAAGAGGAAAGAAAATCCAACCCGCCACCCTGATCTCCGCTCTTCTAGAACCTTCCAGATGTGACTTGCACTCCAAGAAGTAAGAAGTTGTCATAGATCAGGTTGGAATAAGATCTAATGATCCAAAAATGACGTAAGCATTAAAACTAGCGAGAAAACTCCAGATAGTGTGTGTAGCGGTTCAATTGTAGACATCGATTTTCTAATCATGGTATCTTCACATATGGGTAACCACGATCATTCACTCCTTAGTTTAAACCCTTTAGTTGAGTTTCGTGGGATAGAAGTCTGTCGTCGATGTCTTCAGTCACAATTTTGTTCTCTTTCTCTATGTGGAGCTAAACAATCCTTGTGTGTTAGAGAGTGGATGAGAGAGTGTTCTCAACATGTATATATCTCGATGTTTACACAAACTGTTGGGGGGATTATGAAGATAGGCCCAAAGTCAGGCCCAATAAGGAAGAAGAGGATGCTTCATGGACCCAGTCCGCGGGCTAGGCCCAGGGGTAAATATGGAGAAACTAGGAGACAATGTTCGGAAGGTTTCAAGAGAGTACGGTTTGGGCGCCTTGTACCTGTCAGAGGTCTGACAGGTTGGTCGGGGCGCTCAGTCTGACAGAGGTACGGAGTATTAAATGCAGTGCTGACGTGGAACTGGGTTGATGAAGCCTGGTTCAGGGTTGGGTGAGTATAAATAGTGCCGGTAGGTGGCATTTACACCAGGTTGGATTCTCTTCCGAACCAGCCAGCGGTGTCTTATAAGGCGGCCCTGTCAGGCGAGACTACCCCGGCAACCAAGGCGGTCACCCCATGGATGTTCGTAGGCGAGCACGATCTAGTGGCTACCTCCTTCCAAGGGGAACCGGAACTCATAGTCTCCGACGTCCTAAAGTCCCGGCTCTGCTCGCCGTGGAAGAAGACCTTGGTGGTCCGTCTCCTTGGCCGGAAAGTCACCTACGCTTACCTCTGTTCTCAATTACGTTGGATGTGGCGACCGGTCGGCAGGATGGACATCATGGATTTGGAAGACGACGTCTGTTTGGCAACTTTTGACAATGACCAAGATTACTTTAAAGCTCTCACCGGTGGCCCGTGGGTTCTCCTCGATCATTATCTAATAGTTCACCAGTGGTCACCGGAATTTCGGGTGGGCGAGGCAATCCCACGAACCGTCACAACCTGGGTTCGTTTCCCTCACCTCCCAGTGCACTTTTATCACAAGGAAGTCCTTTTTGCACTTGGGAATCTGATCGGGCGAACAATCAAGTTGGACTACCACACCGAGCATGGCCACAGGGGAAAGTTTGCAAGGATAGCCATTGAGTTAGATATGTCTAAACCCCTGAAGCCACGCATCAGATTGGATGGTTTCTGGCAAAAAGTGGTTTACGAGAACCTTCCCAACGCTTGCTTTGGGTGTGGGATCGTCGGTCACGCGGAATCCATATGTCCCAAGCTTGGCCGTGATCTGACCGCGACGGCGAGCGATTCGACTACGACGATCAGCTCTCAGACGTTACCGCTGCGGGAGACGGAGGCGCCGGTGGGTTTCGGCCCGTGGATGCAAGTGACCCGGAAAAGTCGTAAACCGGAAAGGAAGGACTCATCTCAGCAGGCGGCTGATCAGGCAAAATTACAGGGATCGAAATCAGGAAAGAAGAATCAGCCACAAAAGGAAGGGGAATTCAACTTACCTTCTTTGGGGAGCAACAAACCAAACGCAAAAGGAAAGAATATTGGCCATAGTCACACTACTGCTAAGGCGATGGAATTGCCGAACCAAGCCAAAAATCAGGAGGAAATACCTCAAGTTGGAATGCCTAATATGGAAAAAGTTGAGAAGAAAAACGAGAATGGAAAGAAAGCGACTATGAACCCGCCAGTCTCAGCACCGGTGCCAACGACTATTTTGAAACAAAATCCCTCGCCCCTGGCCGTCCACGCAGGTGATAAAGGCTTGTTGGGCCCTGGCCCGCAACCAGCTTCTGGGTCTCCTCTTTTGGACCCATCGTCTTCCAAACAGAGCCTAAACAAAGCGCCCAAATCGGACAAGACAACAGCTAGTGGGCCAAGCTTGGAAGGAATTAAGACCCGTACTGTCTTCGGGCCGGATGGGAAGACGGTGACCATTCTGGATGTCTCTTGCCCTGAACCTCCTTCCCATCGGCAAATCGACCCAGAAGCACCCCTATCCAGCCTGCGTATCAAGAAGAAGAAGAAGAAGAAGGGGAGCTCGCCTCGTCCGACCAAGCAGGGAATGCCGATGGCAGCGGCGACCAAGGCTATTCAAATTTGGTCTCCCAAAAAAGACAAGAAAAACAAGCCACGGGACAAGCTCCTCTCCCTCACTCTCCAAGAAATTGAAGCGTGGAGCTCAACCACGCGAAACCAGTCGGCAACCGCCTCTAAATTCTCGACGGGGGCCACCGCTACGATCGTTGTTGAATCGGAACCTAGTCCGGGCAACGCCGATTTGGCGAAAGAGCCTTGACGCTGCTCTGCCCTTTTCCTCTTTCCTCATTCTCTTTATTTGTTTTCTTTAATGGTAGATATGACCAATATTAATATCATGTCCTGGAATGTGGGCGGTGCAGGTAGCAGAGCATTTCTCCGAGCGCTGAAGCTAATTACCAACCAACACAAACCAGACATCCTCATTTTACTGGAGCCCCAAATTAGCGGCGCTACTGCAGACTTGGTTTGCGGAAAGCTTGGATATCCGGATATCGTTCGTGTTGACGCAAATGGTAGAAGTGGGGGTATTTGGCCGTGTTTAGACAGGAAAGTTTTCGATGTAGAAATCACCTCTGCTTGCTTTCAGCACCTCACGGCCAGGATTACTACCGCCAACTTTCCGAGTTTTTATCTTACTGCTATCTATGCTTCTCCTAACTATCAATTGCAGCCGAGCCTTTGGAATTCTCTTATTAGCTATAGCTCCACGATTTCTCTGCCGTGGTTGCTAACCGGGGACTTTAATGCGGTCAGATCTCTGAATGAGAGGTCCGGGTTGGGCACGGCAAGTACTGCTCGTTGCTGCCAAGCCTTTAACAATTTTATCGATCAGGCTAACTTGGTTGATCTAGGCTTCTCAGGTCCTTGCTTCACGTGGTCAAGAGGAGATGCTGCGAGAACTTACAAAGCCAGCAGGATTGATAGGAGTCTCTGCAATACGTCTTGGAATGAGTTGTTTCCGAATTCTGCAGTTGTTCATCTTCCGCGGCTGCAGTCGGATCACTCCCCTATCCTTACCTCCACTGGGGGACGGAGCTCTATCAACTTTTCTCTTCGTCCATTTAGATTCGAGGCCGCCTGGCTCGCACATGATAATTTTGCCCCCTTTTTGGCAGGTATTTGGGATCCTAACAGCTCCCTGCACGCGGCTCTGCAGGCCACGACTAGTCACCTCAAGGAGTGGAGCAAAAACACAGTGGGCAACCTGTTCCATCAAAAACGAAGGCTACTGAACAGGATCAAAGGCGTACAAACTCGCCTAGCAGCTGCCTTCGAGCCTGGGCTTGCTAAACTGCTCACTAAGCTGGAAAAGGAGCTCGATAAAGTGATGGAACAAGAAGAGATGATATGGTTCCAGAGATCGAGAGAGAATTGGGTCAAGTTTGGCGATCGGAACACCGGGTATTTCCATCAACAAGCTAGCATCCGCAAGAGAAAAAACAAAATCAAAGCCCTCAAGGATTCTGCAGGAGAGTGGATCATGGAACCGGCAGCCCTCGCTAAACACGTTTTCGACTACTACCAGCTTCTGTTTTTGCAGGACTCCTTCCCATATGTCGACCACATGCCCAAGAATCGTTTTCCTCGGGCCTCCCAGCAGGAGATGATCTGCCTCCTTCGTCCTTTTACTGCGGCGGATATCTACCGGGCGATCATGGATATGAAACCCTTGCAAGCCCCTGGACCGGATGGATTCCAAGCTTTGTTCTACCAAAGTAACTGGGCTACGTTGGGTAAGACTTTGACTAACATGGCTTTGGAGTTTTTTGATACAGGTCAGCTCGCAGAATCAATCACGGAGTCTACTCTGGTCCTCATTCCCAAAGTGGACAGACCGGAAATGGTAACACAACTTAGACCAATCTCGCTCAACAATGTGAGTCTGAAAACCATCACCAAGGCGATGACTCACCGCCTCAAGCCTTTTATGCGGAAGTGGATTTCTCCAAGACAAAGCAGCTTCATCCCAGGACGACAAACGACAGACAATATCATCGTCATCCAAGAGGCACTCTCTCAGGAAGCGAAAAGGGCGAAGAGGTGGAGTGGTGATAAAGATTGACCTGGAGAAGGCGTACTACAGACTTCGATGGGACTTTCTCCGAGACACTTTGATGGAGATCGGTCTTCCCAGCTCCTGGATCAACTGCATCATGTTCTGTGTTGAAAAAAATAGGATGCGCATAGCCTGGAATGGAGAGCTCTCAGATGCTCTCACCCCCAGCAGAGGTGTTCTTTCCCCCTATCTCAGATGCTCTTTCCCCCTATCTCTTTGTTTTGTGCATGGAACGTCTTTCTCATAGAATTGACCAGGCCATCGAGGAAAAACGTTGGAAACCCTTGAACCTCTCCCCCGGTGGCCCAAAACTCTCCCATCTTTTTTTTGCAGATGATCTGATGCTCTTTGCGGAGGCGGGGCTTGGTCAGATAGCAATTATTAAGGAGTGCATGGAGGAGTTTTGTTCTAGCTCGGGACAACGAGTGAACCTTCAGAAATCGCTGATCTTTGTCTCGCCTAATGTGCCGAGAGACACCGCTATTGCCTACAGCAACCGAGCAGGGATCCCTCTCACCTCAGATATAGGGAGATACCTGGGTGTCATGGCCATTAATTCTCGAGTCACCAAAGACCGATACAGAGAGCTAATCCTGAAGGTTCAGAGGAAGCTCTCATCCTGGAAAGCTAAGAAACTCTCTCTTGCTGCTCGTTTAACTGTTGTACGTTCAGTCTCTACCTCCATTCCTGTTTATTCCATGCAGACAGAGATGCTCCCATCCTCAGTATGCAAGGAGATTGACAAGATCAACAGGAATTTCATTTGGGGCGACACAGAGGACAAAAAACACTCTCACCTCGTGGGATGGAAGAAGCTCCTCGAACCGAAAGAGAACGGAGGAGCTGGTCTTCGTTCGCTAAGACACTCAAATACAGCGCTCCTGGCAAAAAGCGGATGGAGGGTTCTGCAAGAGAAAGATACTTTGTGGACTCAAGTCGTGCGGGGGAAGTACGGGCGGAATAGAGAAGGACTTTCAATGCTCGAGGGAAAACAGGGAAGTTCCTTTACCTGGAAAAGCATAACCAAAGCTAATCCTATTCTCCGGAAAGGATGTGCTTGGAACATTTCAAATGGGAAGAACACCAAGTTCTGGACTGACATTTGGGCTTTGCAGGTACCACTGAGGGATGTTGCAGTGTCGCCGATCCCGGAGATGGAGGCTCAAAAACCAGTAGCTGCTTACATGAATGATGACGGCCAATGGCGGGTGGAGCTCTTCCAACAATGGCTGCCAACGGATGTCATGGATAAGATCACGACGATAGCTACAGATCCGCTCTCCACTGAAGAAGACAGATTATGCTGGCAGCCCACCTCTACCGGGGATTTCACAGCTAAATCAGCTGACCGAATTGCCTTCCCTGCGCCCCAGACTATGAATCAGCAGACCTGGAAAGCAGTGTGGAACCTTCAAGTTCCGGAGCGCGTTAGACACTTCATCTGGCTGGTTCTTCTCCATCGCATCAACACCAACAAAAGGAGGTTCGAAAGGCACATAGCTCCTAATCCTTTTTGTCCCAGGTGTGTTAATGTGCCAGAGACCGAGCTTCATATCCTGAGGGACTGCCCGGCCTCCCTCTTCTATTGGACAAGAGAGGTGCCAGAAAACAACATGGTGGATTTCCTGACAGCAGACCTTGATCAGTGGGTTCGCAGGAATATCCTTAACACGAAGACGGACAGTAATGGCGTCCCCTGGGCCTCAAGCTTCAGCATTGCTCTGTGGACTCTTTGGAAGAACCGGAACGAAGGTGTCTTCAGCGATGGTAGCAAGCTTTTGTCTCCTCACTCTCTGCGGCATGCTATCCACCTTAAGGTTAATCTTTGGCACTCTGCCTGGATGGCTCCCTCACCGTTGCAGCTTCGTGGTAATCGAAAGCCGGACAGGGTCGAGGCTGATGTTGGCTGGAGTGCACCACCTAGGGGTTGGTGCAAACTTAACGTTGATGGAGCTTCTCAAGGTAACCTCGGGAAGGCGGCAGCAGGAGGAGTCTTCAGAGATGATCAACGACGCTGGCTAGGGGGGTTCTACTACTCCATTGGTGACTGTTCGGCGACTTGTGCAGAGCTTTGGGCAATCAAGCAGGGTCTGGAGATGGCGTGGAGAAGAGGATTCAGGCTCCTCATTGTTGAGTCTGATTCCCGGCTAGCTATTGACTTCATTCAGCATAGATTCGACCATGTTCACCCCTTTGCCTCTCTTTTGAGATCTATCCGCAGGTTGCTTACGCAGGACTGGTTGGTCAATATAGTACACACTTACCGTGAAGGGAATAGAGTCGCGGACTGGCTCTCGAAGCACGGTCTCGTCTATCCCCATGGTATGTATGAACTAGTTGACCCGCCAGCTCCTTTGATGCACATTCTGCAGGATGATCAACGAGGTGTGGTTTTACCTCGGAACATTGTCCATCTCCCCCAAACCCCCCTGTAACTCTTTCTTTGTTCTTGGCTTTTGCCTCCTATCGATAAAAAAAAAACTATAGCTTGACACTTCTTTCTCTAAAATCCAAATTGACTTGATTGTCGGAGGACTAACGGGCCCAGGCGCCCTCCTCCGTGTGCGTTGTGCAGGTCCGGTGTCAAGGTTTCATAGAGCTGGGATAGAGCTGGTGGGGAGTTGGGCTCCAAAGTATCCGGACACAAACACAAACTATTAAAATTGAATTATTTTTATTATTTATTATATTTTTAATTGACACATCATCCACTTAATAGTTAATGATTATAGTTAATTGAAATTTATGACACGTTTAATGGAAGTGCACGAACATGATCAATAGTGCAATACATGTGCAAAGTTAGTGACAAATAAGTAAATAACCAATACAAAATTTATTAGTAACAAAGAAAAAAGAAAGTTGATAAATCGAGTTACAACATATACAATTTAGTAAAAATACTCGATGCTCCTTTTCTTCGATTGGATGTACATGGTCCGACCGATGCTTTTTCCAAGACGATGATCAACGTAATTTTTTTTGTAAGTTATAAAAATAAGAAAAATTCCTCCCTTACTCTATTTTACACTTACCTCCCTCTCCCACCAAAATAAAAATAAAATATAATGTATTGCTCAAAATTGGTTATTAGTTAACTCATCCCAGCAATGTAGGGCACACCGGTAGCCTTGATCCAATCATCACCTTCCACGTATAGCTTGGCCGGAGTAAAATTCTCGGCCTCTTGAGTCTGAATG